TCCGCAAGCTCCATGGCGAGATAAAAGGTCCAGGAGATGAGTTTTACTCTGAGTCTGCTGGTGGGAATGGAGCTGCCTAGGAGCAAATGGGGAATTGGTGACCCTCGCACCGAGCAGTGTGTCCAAACACGTCCCAATTTTTGGACAGCTGCCAAGCCGGTGAGGTCCCACATTTATTCGGTAATGAGGTACGTCGTGGCATGTACGTGTGTACATATTTTCAAAACATGACATCATAAATATGTGCCTCTCCATCAAATCACCTCAAGGTGCGCACACGGGAGCTATGCATGTTGCTGGCAGCTGCTGGCTAGAATGAGTCAAGGAGTCGCAAGTGGGGGACTGAGCCAGAAATAGAGAATTTTGTGCTACTGGTGGTGAGCTCGCCCGGACAAATTTAGAAGCCAAAAGAGGAGCAGACAAGTTAGGTGGAGCCTATCTAAAGTTCATCTGGGCGTGTAAGCTTCACTCCCCTTCAGAAGGCCCTGGCCCCAGCCAGCATGAGACGGTTTGTTGGTTGAACTCCAAGAACAAGGGCGGTACCATTTCCTGGACTCCTCGGTAATTCTTAAGTTCACATTACTAATGCTTGTATTATTTTTGCTGAAGTTAAATACAGGCCAAAACACGGCCTTCATTCACTTTTTAAATCGTTACTTGCACAATTTACACAATGGCTGAGCTCCCAATCTCACCCCGAAAACGTGACAGAACGAACGAGAATGTCGCAAAGGCTATTAAAGGTCTTATGCAGAGAGGTGATAAAATAAGCAGTCGCTTTGATGCTGATGTCTATATTGTGGTGCGACGAAACAATCGACATTGGGACTACAACTCTTCTAGTAGCTCATTGTTTCCCCCTCCTCTCGTAGAAGTTGTGAGCGATCTCAATCTGGGTCTACTTAGCACTTGGTGAGCTAACTTTGTTGTACATAGGAACAAGCCTATCCACTGGCTGTGAGGAGATCTCCAGCAAGCTTCCAGCATACGCAGAATGCCATACCCTCATCATCTACTTCCAACCAAGCCACTGATCGGACAAGCTCGGGGGATGAGATAGCTGAGACTAGTCTACCCGTAGGTAGAATTAATTGTCTCAAAAAGGGATCGCTGCGCTACATATCAAGATCACGTGGCTGAGAGATTACTCATTTAGCTGGCTGGAATAACCGGAATTTCTTTATTCCCATAATTACGTAAGCTGGATAAGAGCATGCAACAACAACAGAGACGTTCACCTGCATTTGCGGACTCCTAAGTTCGCATTTCCAGCGCAACCACAAATGCAAATTTAGGTGCTAGAAGATGCGTATGTACATACTGTATGTAAACACCGGTACACGGAGTAAGCACGATGATCGTTAATAGCAATCAAAAACGTCTCAGCGACGACGGCCTAATCTCTTCCAAACCTTTCTGCTCGACGTCACGATCTCATATACATAGCAACGAATTGCAAGTCGGAAATGTCTCCGCTTGGGCAAACCCCGAAAGGCCGCATGACAAACGTCCCTGACGATCAGTATGAGACAAAAGAAAGGCAGACTTCGGACCCTTGGCCACTTGATGGCTTGATGAAGTAGTCGATACCGGTTGAGGGCGGGAAGGCTTGAAGGACACGGGCACCACGAATGACATGGGCGACACCTGGATGATGGCGACAACCGACAACAGCTCGCGCTTGTTTGCCTACGAGACCCGATAGCACATGGACGCGTTGGAAGAGAAGGAGGGGATACGAGGACACGGGATGGATTTGTCTACCCACTTAGCAAGACATTGACCATTCAACATTTCATCAGTCTCCCTCATTATCCGACAAGTCCGCCCGCGACCACACCTCCCTCTTCTTGCCTTTCTTCTCCCCATCATCTCTTTCCGCCCTATTCCTACCCTCCTCCCTAAGCACGGCCATCTGTCCCAGCAACTTCTCCCCCAACAGCCTCTGCTCCTGCATCAAATCCCTCATCTCCTTCTGCACCAGCAGCTGTCGATACCCGACAAAATCGCTCTTCTCCACCTTCTCCACCGTCGGGGCCGCATCCGGTTTCATCAAGCTGCCCAAGATGACGCTCCGTGCGGGGACCGGTCTCTGGCCGAGCGCGAAAACGCCCGTCGAGGCAAGCGAAACCCCCAGAACGACGACGTAGACGACAAACACGGACTTGCTATCCCCTACACCGGCGTCGACGTCGAGGTCTCGGGACCAGACGAAGCCGAGGAAGACGCTCATTCCTGCTAGCAGCAGCAGCAGTGAGGAGGATAGTAGGAGGGAGGGCGCCGAGACGGTGATGGTGGACGACAGGGCGGGGGCGAGTCCGGCCAGGAGCTGCTCAGACTGTTCTTCCTCTTCGTTCTGGTTGTCGTCGTTGTCGTTATCGTTGTCGTTGAGCGCCATCCACAGGCGGATGCCGTCGTTGCCGGCGTCGTCGGTGTTGCGGACCCAGCGGCGCAGGTCTTTCTCCGAGGTGAGCTGGCTGATGGTCCAGGCCTGGCTGGTGGCGAAGTAGACGGCGAGGAGGGAGGTGATGAGGCTGGAGATCCAGCAGGAGCGGGCGACCCAGTGGGTTTGGGAGAGGTTCGGGAGGGCGAGGGTCGCCATGGCGACGCCGGTTATGATGCTTCCCTGGTTGGTTGGTCAGCTTGGGTTCAATGGTCGCGCCTAAAATAAGGGGACCTACGGCTGTGGAGATCCGCTGGCTTTCGCCCTCGACCGCCTTCTTGAACTCCAGCCCTGCAACGCTGAAGCCCGCTGAGCCAATGGTGATCAGGCGTCGCGGGATTCGAACAGGAACAGGTCGCGGTTCTTTGGTAGCAGGACTGGTCTTGCTCCCCACTAACCTTTTCCTCACCACTTCCCTCCCCCTTTTCACCCTCGACCTCCCCACCCGCCCCATCTTCAGCCTCCTTCTCATCA